TAAAGCAGAACAACTGCTTTTAACACTGATACTAATAAGAAAGGAAGGATCATGTGACACTGAACACTAGAGTAATGGCTCCTGAATATATTAAAAATATATTTAAATAGTAATATCTTAAATTGCTTTGTTTTTCGAAAAAAAGTCTCTTATTTACCATTAAAAAATCTTGTGAACTCCAGACTTTTATCATTTTGTTAAATATGCACATATTAGCATAATACATCAAAAGTGCGCCCACTGAAAAGATCTGATATTTTTGTTTTTTAATAAGCAGCAGTTAAAATGTTTTTTTTTTACACAATAAAATATTTAATAAAATGTTGTATGTAAATTAATGTTTTTGCCCTTTTAAATATGAAAAGGCATTAAAAAGGAAAAAAAAAATTGAAACCCATCTTAATTATCAGCATTCACAAAATGTAACAATTATGGATTTTACCCATTATAAAACATAAAATAGTAGGTGTACTCTATGAGCAAAATGTCACCAAATGTCAACCAATTCTCATGTCAGAGACAAAGGTTATAAACAATGTAATAAATCTTTACAAATTCCACTTGTTATTTATTTAGATATTTTTTTTAATGACTGGTAATTGCAGAACAGTGTGGAAAGTCAGAATTATTAAACCCAACCAAATCTACTTAACTGTTAAAAACAAAACAAGAATAAAAACAAGACCACCAAACTCGAAACAAAACTAGTCTTTATATAAAACCAGAATACATAATTTCACATTCAACAATTAAGACCTGAATATACATGATATCAAACAAATGTGCCAAAGCATAAACATGATCAATACTTTCAAGGTGCGCTCATCACACATATAAGGGGAATGAATAAAAGTATATTTTGGAATGCGCATGTAAAATAAATTGAGTGCATGTGACGGAATGGAAGTGAATAAACTTAATATTTGGTCTCTGTAGACAGTATGAAATGTGTGCTACGTTTCTACCCATAGCGGACAAAGCTTTAAACCACCAAAAAAACACCCCCTTATACTGCATCACATGGTTTTACCATTGACTCCGTCCTCGTTGCTCCGAATGAGGCCGTACTCAGTAGCCAGATCCAGGCAGCGCTGGGCGGCTTTCTGAATGGAGGCCTGTTTGGGATCGTCTCCTTTAGCCAGGACAGAGAGGATCTCCAGAGCCTCGCTCTCCATCAGTTTCTCAGCCAGACTTTTGTCAGCCTGCATGAGGTTCATTACGATGACCGCCCCACGATGCCGCAGGTCCTGACTTTCACCGAGCAGCAGAGCCTGGAAGATCTCCAGCCAGTGGCTTGTCTACAGAAAAGTATGTGAATTGAGATGAAGAATGTGAGGATTTCTTAATCAGGTAAGACTCAAATCTGTACTCACTGTGTCAGGAATACGTGTACACAGCTCGGGCATCTCTCCGGTCAGCATGGCCAGCGTGCCTGATGCAGCCTTCCTCAGCCGCTCATCATCTTCACCACTGTAGAGCACCAGAAGCTTGAGACGGTCACTGTCTGTAGCCAAGTAACACTTCTGCACCTGATGCATCACAGAAAACCACAAAAGCAGTCTTTTCTAGAAGGATTTAGATCACAGTCCGGTCCAAAAACCCATACTGTCAAGTGTCATGTGATGTACCTCAGTGCTTAAGGCCAGATTGCACATACACTCCGTGGCAGCAGCACGGACCATGTCGTGCTCCTCAAACATGTAGCCCTCTATTTTAGGCACAGCTTTCTCCTTGATGATCTTCTGCCTGTGGGATTGAAATGTGGTTTTGATGGTTGGGTTGTTCTGTGGCTTAATGGAATAGTTCACCAAAAATGAAAACTTGCTGAAAATGTACTTGCTCTCTGGCCATCCAAGGTGTAGATGAGTTTGTTTCTTCATCAGAACAGATTTGGAGAAATTACAAATTGTAATTAGCATTATATCACTTGCTCACCAATGGACCCTCTGCAGTGAATGGGTGCCGTCAGAATCCGAACAGAAACATCACAACAATCCACAAGTAATCTACACAACTCCAGTCCATCAACTAACATCTTGTAAAGCGAAAAGCTGCATGCTTGTAATAAACAAATCCATCATTAAGGCGGTTTTAATTTCACTGGAGAAAGCAATACTATGGATTGAGGACTTGTATTTTAGCCAGAAGCAACGGTTTTAAGTTAAAAACCTCTTAATGATGGAATTGTTATCTAAAGGCACACAGTTTTTCACTTCACAAGGCATTAATTAATGGACTGGAGTCGTGTGGATTACTTGCAATGTTTTTATCAGCTGTTAGGACTCTCATTCTGACGGCACCCATTCACTGCAGAGGATCATTTGGTGAGCAAGTGATGTAATGCTACATTTCTCCAAATCTGTTCAGATGATACAAGAAACTCATCTACATCTTGGATAGCCTGAGGCTTAGTACATTTTTAGCAAATTTAATTTTTGGGTGAACTATTCCTTTAAATTTCCGATTCAATTTGTTTTAGTTGGTGAGCGCTAACCTGAGTCTCTCACTGATGCCAGCCAGGTTGGTGAGGGCCATCAGAGCCTCAAAGTTCTGCAGCATCGTGCAGTCAAGCGCCAAAAGACTGACCAGGGGTCTAACCACCTCATAGACCTACACAAACTCACAGATCATGACATTAGACATTCAGTTCCTGATTGCAATCAGAGAGAAAGGTGAAATAAAGTGCTGACGTACCCTCTCGCCCGGAAATGCAATCTCAGGGTTGGATGTGATGGTGATCTTGGCCAGAGCTTGCGCTGCTTTGATCTTTCCCCGATCTGTGCTCTCAGAAACTAGCGGTAGTAAGGCCTGCATCAAGCAAACAAGAAAACAGTCACATGTTATCATTCAAAATTTTGGGTTCATTAAGATTTTTACTTTGGAAAGAAATTTACACTTTTTTTTTTTTTTTTTTTTAGCAAGGATGCATTAAATTAATCAAAAGTGACAGTAAAGACGTGTAATGTTACAAAATATTTCCATTTCAATTTTTATATATTAAAATAGAAAGTTATATTAAATTGTAATATATTTCTCATTACTACTGTTTTTAATTTATTAACAAAACTTCAAAACAAATAAATGCAGCCTTGGACAAGCATAAGCGACTTCTTTCAAAAACATTTTATAATTAGTGCTGTCAAAGGATTAATCGCGATGAATCGCATCCAAAATAAAAGTTTTTGTTTACATAACATATGTGTGTATACTGTATAATATTTATTATGTATATATAAATACACACACATGCATGTATATATTTAAGAAAAATATGTTATATTTATATATTAAAT